ACTGTCTGATATCGTGCCAGAAGATGAGCCCCCCAGGTTGGAAGGCACTCAAAAGACGACTGGGGAAGAGCTGCCTCCTCAGAGTAGACTCGACCTTAATGACGTGGATGGAGTCAAGATTTCAGGACCTTCATTTGCTGATGTGGCACGACTCAAAATGAGAAGAAACATCTGCAAACATCCATTAATAATCAGAACTTGGAATGTAGAAAGTATGAATCTAGGAAAATTGGAAGTAGTCAGAAATGAAATGGAACCCATAAAGATCGATATCCTAGGCATTAGCGAGCTGAAATGGACTGGTATTGGCCTTTCTGAATCAGACAGTCATGTGGTCTGCTATGCTGGGAATGACAACTTGAAGAGGAAGGGCATTGCATTCATCGTCAAGAGAACATTTTTCAAGATCTATCCTGAAGTACGACACTGTCAGTGATAGGATAATATCCATACGCCTACAAAGAAGACCGGTTAATACCACTATTATTCAAATTTATGCACCAACCACTTAGGACAAAAAGGAAGAAATTGAAGATTTTTACCAACTTCTGCAGTCTGAAATTGATCTAACATGCACTCAAGATGCATAGATAATTACTGGTGATTGGAATTCGAAAGTTGGAAACAAAGAAGAAAGATAGGTAGTTGGAAAATATGGCCTTGCTGATAGAAGTGATGCCAGAGATCGCATGATAGAATTTTGTAAGACCAATGACTTCTTCACTGCAAATACCCTTTTTCAGCAACATAAACAGCGACTATGCACATGGATCTTGCGAGATGGAATACACAGGAATCAAATCGACTACATCTATGGAAAATGACAATGGAAAAATTCGGTATCATCAGTCAGAACAAGGCCAGGGGCCAAATGCAGAACAGACCATCAATTTCTCATATGAAAGTTCAAGTTGAAGCTGAAGAAAATTAGAACAAGTCCACGAGAGCCAAAGTATGACCTCGAGTATATCCCACCTGAATTTAGAGACCATCTCAAGAATAGATTCTATGCGTTGAACACTAATGACCAAAGACCAGACGAGTTGTAGAATGACATCAAGGACATCGTTCATAAAGAAAGCAAGAGGTCATTAAAAAGACAGGAAAGAAGGAAAGGACCAAAATAGACATCAGAAGAGACTCTGAAACTTGCTCTTGAACATCGAGTAGCTAAAGCAAAAGGAAGAAATCATGAAGTAGAAGAGCTGGACAGATTTCAAAGGGCAGCTGGAGAAGACAAAGTAAAGTATTATAATGACATGTGCAAAAACCTGGAGATAGAAAACCAAAAGGGAAGAATATGCTTGGCATTTCTCGAGATGAAAGAAGTGAAAAAAAATTCAACCCTCGAGTTGCAACATTGAAGGATTCTATGGGGAAAATATTAAACGACACAGGAAGAATCAAAGGAAGACAGAAGGAATACACAGAGTCACTGTGCCAAAAAGAATTGGTCAACGATCATCCATTTCAGGAGGTAGCATATGATCAGGAACCGAGGATACTGAAGGAAGAAGTCCAAGCTGTACTGAAGGCACTGGCGAAAAACAAGCCTCCAGGGATTGGCGGAATAGCAGCTGAGATGTTTCAGCAAACAGATGCAGCACTGCAGGTGCTCACTCGTCTATGCCAAGAAGTTTGGAAGACAGCTACTTAGCCAATCCACGGCAAGAGATCCGTATTTATGCCTGTCTCCAAGAAATGTGATCCAACAGAATGCGGAAATCATCAAACAGTATCATTCATACCACACGCAAGTAAAATTTTGCTGAAGATCATTCAAAAGTGGCAGCAGCAGTGTATTGACAAGGAACTGCCAGAAATTCAAGCTGGATTCAGAAGAGGAAATAGAATGATGGATATCATTGCTGATGTTAGATGCATCCTGGTTGAAAGTAGAGAATACCAGAAAGATGTTTACCTGTGTTTTATTGACTCTGCAAAGGCATTTGACTGTGTGGATCATAACAAATTATGGATAACATTGCAAAGAATGGGAATTCCGTAACACTTAATTGTGCTCATGAGGAACCTGTGCATAGATCAAGAGGCAGTCGTTCAAACAGAACAAGGGGATACTGTGTAGTTTAAAGTCAGGAAAGTTGTGCATCAGGGTTGTGTCCTTACACCATACCTATTCAATCTGTATGCTGAGCAAATAATCCAAGAAGCTGGACTATATGAAGAAGAACTGGGCATCAGGATTAGAAGAAAACTCATTAACAACCTGCGTTATACAGATGACACAACCTTGCTTGCTGAAAGTGAAGAGAACTTGGAGCATTTACTGATGAAGATCAAGACCACAGCCTTCCTTATGGATTACACCTCAATATAAAACAAAAATCCTCCCAACTGGACAAATAAGCAACGTCATGATAAATGGAGAAAACACTGAAATTGTCAAGGATTTCATTTTGCTTGGATCCACAATCAACGCCCATGGAAGCAACAGTCAACAAATCAAGTGACACGTTGCACTGGGCAAATCTGCTGCAAAAGACCTCTTTAAAGTGTTTAAAAGCAAAGATGTCACCTTGAAGACTAAGGTGCGCCTGACCCAAGCCATGGTGTTTTCAATCACCTCATATGCATGTGAAAGCTGGACAATGAATAAGGAAGACCAAAGATGAATTGACGCCTTTGAATTGTGGTGTTGGCGAAGAATATTGAATATACCATGGACTGCCAGAAGAACGAACAAATCTGCCTTGGAAGAAGTATGACCAGAATGCTCCTTAGAAGCAAGGATAGTTAGACTTGGTCTCACATACTTTAGACGTGTTATCAGGAGGCATCATGCTTGGTAAAGTAGGGGTCAGTGAAAAAGAGGAAGACCCTCAACAAGATGGACTGACACAGTGGCTGCGTCATTGGGCTCAAGGATGGCACAGGACTGGGCAGTGTTTTGTTCTGTTGTACATGCGGTTGCTGAGTTGGAACCGACTCGACGGCACCTGACAACAATATACTTCATCTGGAGCCCTGGTGGTGCAGTGGTTAAGAGCTCAGCTGCTAACCAAAAGGTCGGCCATTGAAATCCACCAGCCACTCCCTGGAAACTCTATGGGGGCAGTTCTACTCTGTCCTATAGGGTCACTATGAGTTGGAATCGACTTGAAAGCAATGGGTTTTGTTTGGGTTTTCAGGTGCTCAGGGGGGAATGCTGAAGTCTACCTCATGTCTGTGTAAACGCTCAGAAGATTTTAAACCAAGAAGTAACGTGATCAGAACTGGGTTTGGGAAAGATCGTGTTATAATTGTTGCTGTGTGCTGTCAAGTGGATTCCGACTCATAGCAACCCTGTATGACAGAGTAGAACTGCCCCGTAGGGTTTCCTAGACTATGATCTTTATGCGAGCAGATCGCCAGGTCTTCTTCCTGTGGAGCCACTGGGTGAGTTTGAACCGCCGATCTTTTGGTTGGCAGCCGAGCATTTAACTGTAGTGCTGCCAAGGCACCTTAAGAAAATCATAGTCTTTTTATGCCATCTTGAATTAACTTCAGGGCTAATTTCCATAACCTGGGCAGATCATCACTAAGATCTTACAGGCATACTCACATCCAGTTGAGCTCAGGCATTCGGGCACACATCTGCTTGGGAAGGGCTTCTAAGTAGTTATTAACCATAGACCTTTACACAAAGAAGATACTGATTAGAAACACAGCAGCATGGCACTTTAAGGACAGTGTTATTATTGTTTCCAAAGTTTGGAAGCTTGCATAGTAACACTGATGTATTAAACCAACCCTGAACCTGCTGTCATCAATTTGATTCCAACTCATAGTGACACTATATGACAGTAGAATTGCTCCATAGGGTTTTCAAGGCTGTAAATCTTTACGGAAGCAGATCGCCAGGTCTTTCTCCCAGAGTGGCTGGTGGGTTTGAACTGCCGACCTTTTGGCTAGCAGTTAAGCGCTTAACCACTGCACCACCAGCGCTTGTTCACTGATATATTAAGATGGCTATATTAGAAGGAAGAATATACACCCCTTCAAAAAAGTATATGGGAAGCCTCAGAGAGCAGATATTGTCAAAGAAACTATGAACTCATAAGTATGATGCATAACTTAGAAATAAATATTACGCATTTTAATTTTAGGAGATGAAACAAGTTTGTATTGGGTAATAATTTTGAAGGTCATGTTAACTTTCCTTGTAAACTTCAGATCCACAATCATAGGCAGCGCTAGACATCCAAAGTTTCTTCTTAAGAGAAGCATTAATCATTTACAATATTAAAGGGTCACATTGGAATCTCATTAAACCTAAGAAACGGGGATTTGGGGAAAGAAAACAATCCGTAAGCATGTTAAACTGCATGATTCATTTATAGTATTGTGGTGTCTTTTGACAAATGGAAAAATAATTATGCTAAGCAATCAGCTGGAAAGGAACATAATAATCCCCCTCTGGCAAATCTTTCTAGTGTATTGATAAACAGTGGGAAGAGGTTGGTGGGCAGGACAAAGATTTTGGAATGTTCACTGACTCTCACCAGGCCAAAGCGCGTTTTCCCTTATGAAAAGTCATAGTGGGAGCTGAACTCGTCGGCATGTCTATCAGATTTAAACGTCAGTTAAGAGATAAAAGGGGTCCCTGGGTGGCACAGGGAGCCCTGGTGGGGCAGTGGTTAATAACTTGGCTGCTAACCAAAAGGTTGGCAATTCAAATCCACCAGCTGCTCCTTGGAAATGCAATGAGGCAGTTCTACTCTGTCCTATAGGGTCGGTTTGAGTCAGAATCAACTCAATGGCAGTGGTTTTGGTTTTTCTGGTTTGGGTGGCACACATAGTTAAGCACTGGGCTACTAACTGAAAGGTTAGTTGGCAGTTGGAACCCCCCCAGAGGTGCCGTGGAAGAAAGTCATGGAAATCTCCTTCTGAAGAGGTCGCAGACATGAAAACGCTGTGGAGCACAGTTCTGCTCTGACACACATACGGTTGCCATGAATCGGAATCAACTCCACGGCAACTGATTTGTTTTTTGTTTTGTTCTGTTTTTTGGTTAGGAGATAAAAATGAACACTATCTTTGGCCAATCTCTGCAAATAAAAATGTACCTGAGAGAAAAATGGGGAGCAGAACTCAAATTCTTAAGAAGTCCAGACCTCCTGGACCCGTTGAGACCAGAGGGCTCCCTGAGACTCTTGCCCCGAGATACTCTTTAAACCTTTACTAAAACTATGCCCTGAGGTCACCTTTCAGCAAAACAACGTGTTGGCACACAAAATAAAGGATATTACCCGTGAGTATGGTACTCCATTAAAAAAGCATCTATATGAGACCAAAAGGTGAACGAACAATCACTCTAAAACAGAGATGAGGAGATAAGGGGGCAGGGAAACTAGAATACTGGAAATGGAACAACCAGAAAGAAATGTTGACACATTGTGGGAACAGTAATTTATGTCGCTGAACATTTAGTATAGACATTGTCAAGTGGGATCCTAATTTGCTGTGTAAACTTCCACTGTAAACACAATAAATATTATTGTTAAAAATGTGCCTGTGGACTAAAAGAAATTAAACAGGACCCTCCCGGAAAAAAAAAAAAAAATCAGCAAGTAGGCTAAAAATACACATTATAATCTAGTTTGGCAGTCTGCTCCCTTTGAACCAGGGCCAGGAAGTAGCAACAGTAACCGAGGCTGGAAATCCAGGAACCGTTTTGACTGATAATACATTCCAGTGGACTTTATTGTTTTAAATCTCTCTTTGTAAGCCAGTGTTAGATGTTGTCATGAATTGAGTTGTGTCCCCCCAAAATATCTGTCAGCTTGGCTGGGTCATGATTCCCAGTATTGTATGACTGTGTTATCTGATGTGAAGTCCTTATGTGTTGTAAACTCTATCACTGTGATGAGATTATATGTGATCTCCTCATGTGTTGTAAATTCTATCACTGTGATGAGGTTATACTGATGAGGTTGACAAGATCAGGGTCTTAATGCAATCTCTTTTGAGATATAAAAGACAGAAGCGAGCAGAGACACATGGGAACCTCACACCACCAAGAAAGCAGTGCTGGGAGCAGAGCGCGTCCTTTGGACCTGAGGTTCCTGTGCCGAGATGCTCCCAGACCAAGGAAAGACTGAGACATCACAAGGACCTTTCTCCAGAGCCGACAGAGAGAGAGAGCCTTTTCCTGGAGCTGATGCCCTGAATTTGGACTTGTAGCCTACTGGATTGTGAAGACAATAAATTTCTCTGTTAAAACCATCCACTTATGGTACTTCTGTTAGGGCAGCACTAGGTGACTAAGACAGATGTCATTGCAATTTACAGACAGATGCACCAAACGGCAGATAAATACTTACAGGAAGAACAAAGAATTCAATCCAGCAAATGACCGCTGTGAGATTCTGGCTATGGGGTTTTCATCTAGAATTCTGAAAAGAACATACCGCAAACATTCCAATGTCAGAGACATTTGTGAAATACAATTGGAGAGAAATAAAAGGCCCGTGAGGATGCTCCCTCCCACATACACCCACCTTGCTCGTTTGTGCCCTCCCAGGCTGGGCTCCGTCACCTTTTAGTTGGACCAGCTCTTCCTCCAATTTCCCACAGCACCCCATCAAAGCCATCATCAACTCATACCCTGATTGTCTGTTTTCTCTCCCCGCACCCAGCTCCCACTGGACTTGATGACCCACATTATGGAGACCTGGGGTCCAGATAGCTAAGTTAATGTTTTGACCTACTGAGTGAGTGACTGAAGAATGATGGGAAACAGAACTCTTAGGAAACCACAAAGCTTCTCCGGTCTCGGGGTGTTTGAACGATGTATTGGATCGAGTCTTCACAAACAACTGAATGGATGGTGAGCAGCCACTAAAGAGCTTTGGGAGCCCCTGGGTGGTGCAAACAGTTAATGCACTCGGCTGCCAACTGGAAGGTTAGAGGTTCAATCTAGCCAGAGGCACCTTGGAAGAAAGACCTGGTGAACTACTCCTGAAAAATCGGCCATTGAAAACCCTGTGGAGCACAGTTCTGCTCTGACGTACATAGGGTCACCATGAGTTGGAATAGACTCAATGCAATTATTTTTAGAGAGCTTTGAGGGTGAAAGAATGAAAATATTTATATATGTAAATCTGTCTTTAACGATATGTATATAGTATTTCAATTAGAAGAAATGAGACTAAAGTGAAATGTACCTCGTTTTCCCTGTTTGCTTTTGAAGGCAGGTAATAATTCCTCTTACCCTCAGGGGTCTGTGAGGCCAGGACTGAGAGAAGGGTGCTCACACTGAGCTCACACTGACCACCTACTATATACAGTAAAACCTGTGAAAGCCGGAACCCGTGTAAGCAGAAACCTGTCAGAGAAAGAAAACTCAAATATTTTCTGCTAAAACGCACTATGGAAAAGTGGCAAGACTGCATCCCGTCAAAGGCGGAAAACTTCTGAGACCGAGACAGACAAGGCAGTCCCGGGGAGCCCCGGCTCTCACAAGCTTCACTGTGCCAGGTGCCCTGTACGTGGCTCCCTGTGTGTGTTATGTGACATGAGTCTCACGAGACCCCTTGAAAAGGAATGATGGTTATAGTCTACAGGTGAGGAAAGAGGTCTAGGGAGACTGAGAAGCCTGCCTAAGATGAAGCAGCAGGGCCAGGGCGTACGGAAGGGTCTTGGTGAAGCCCAAACCCTGGGTTTTCAACAAGGCCTGGCCGACTTCCAGAAAATGGGCAAACTAACATGAGCTGTGTAGCTGCGCTTTGGGTCACTTTCCTGCTGGAAGCACAGGTGTCTACAGGAGGCTCCATGCAGGACTTTTTGGGATGGAGCTGGTGGCTCAGCGGAGAATCTGACCCACCAGGAGAGATCATATTTCCAGACTCTTCTATAAATGTTCTGCAAATCAGATCGCCCTTAACTTGCTCACTTTCTCTGTTAGTGGTGGTCTACAGAGGGCATTTTTGGCTCCAGGAGTCATTTGGTAATGTCTGGGGACACTTGGTTGTCCCAAGTGGGGAGAGGATGTTATTGGCATCCAGTGGGTAGAGGCCAGGGATACTGCAGAACCTCCTACAATGCAAAGGTCAGTCCCCACGACAGAGAATTATTGAGCCCAAAATGTCAACAGTGCCAAGACTGAGAAGTCTTTCCAGGTGGACGTGGATGGATGGATGGATGGACGGACGGATGGATGGATGGATGGATGGCTTAGCAAGCCTACTGCTGGTCCCAGAAGGCTGCCTAAAAAAGCATGCCATTGTCTGAATTTCTTGGGTAAATCACTTCTGATTGTGACAATCAGAAAAGTAAGTATAATAAATAAGACACATAAATAGCACTGTTCTATATCCTTAAGACTATGACTGTTAATAGGGGATATAAAAGCTAAAATACAGCCAAGTTAGATGACGTAAATCCTTGAATTCTCCGGGTCTGAGAGTGGTAATGTAGTTGTGACTGAGCTACCTGCAAACAGCACAGGCAGGGAGGCAGATGCAGACTCCATCTCAGTCACACACAGTGGGGATGTGAGCCGCTGACGGTGACAACAGAGTGTGCGGACATCCGTTCTGAAAGAGCGCTGCGGGACGAGCAGAGGGAGAAACAAAGCAAGGAAGGGCCAGGAGACACAAGCACCCACAGCACAGGGCGTGCAGCACCGCGCCAGGGCCAGAGAAGCGCAAAAATCACCTATCAGGATAATAAAATGCAATACTATGTGGTATCACCAAGTACTTAGATGAGCTAGTACACTGAAAGCATTGCTAAAAGAGTCCTACCTTCACCTGAAGACGGTGATAAACGATCTTCTTAACCTTGTCTTTTCCAGCTTAAGTCACTTCACAACACTTTTGCATTTTATTTTTTTTAACACTCGCTAACTAAAAATGCTAGTCTAACAAGGATGTGACCAAAGAGGACAAAAGCACTCCACATATTGAGTTATCATATTCTTGTACTCAAATAGAATATAATGTAATGTAATGTAACAAAGATAAGAGTAACAATATAATACATATACTGTTATTGTTAGGTACATTTGAGTCGATTCTGACTCATGGTGACCCCATGTGACAGAACAGAACTACCCCATAGGGCTTCCTAAGGAGCCTGGGGTAGTGCAGTGCTCAGCAAAAAGGTCAGCAGTTCGGACCCACCAGCCACTCTGTGGGAGAAAGACGTGGCAGTCTGCTTCCATAAAAATTACGGCCTGAGAAACCCTATGGGGGCAGTTCTGCTCGTCTTGTAGGGTCACTGTGAGTTGGAATCAACTCTCCAGCAATGAGTTTTTTGTTTTTTCTTTATGTGGTTTCCGAGACTGTGATCTTTACAGGAGCAGATCACCAGGTCTTCCTCCTGCAGAGCTGCCGGGGGGTTCAAACCATTGACCTTTCGGTTAGCAACCAAGTGTTTAACTGTTGTGCTACCAGGGCTCCATAATATGATGTGATATGATATATGATATGATATTATGGGACAAGACATGTCATAACATGACATGATATGATATAGGCAGCCCACAACTTAATGATGCGGTTCCATTCGGAAGACTCCGTTATAAGTCGGTTCTGATATAAGTTGAATATCTGTTTTTTAGTTTTCATTATTATTGCCTTTTATTATCAGTATCTTTACAAATCTGATCTCTGAACATCTGTGAGTGAACATCTGAGAATCATAATATCAACAAATTATGAGCTGCAACATTGTATGTAGTACATATTACTAATGATAAGATGTACAAAAAAAGAAAAAAAAGACAGCTGTAAGCGCGGTTTGTTGCTAGCTTGAATACGTCATAAGTTGAGGACTATTTGTATAGTACAATATTTGTTGTTGTTAGGTGCTGTCGAGTCGGTTCCAACTCATAGCAACCCTATGTATGACAGAATGAAACTCTGCCTGGTCCTGCGCCGTCCTCACAATTACTGCTATGTTTGAGCCCATTGTTGCAGCCACTGTGTCAATCCATCTCATCGAGGGTCTTCCTCTTTTTCGATGACCCTCTACTTTACCAAGCATGGTGTCCTTCTCCAGGGACTGGTCCCTCCTGATAACAACTCCAAACTACGTGAGACCAAGTCTCACCATCCTCCCTTCTAAGGAGCATTCTGGCTGTACTTCTTCCAAGACAGATTTGTTCATTCTTCTGGCAGTCCGTGGTATATTCAGTATTCTTCACCAACACTATAATTCATGCATCAGTTCTTCTTTGGGCTCTTCCTTGTTCATTGTCCAGCTTTCACGTGCGTATGAGGTGACTGAACACACCAGGGCTTGGGTCAGACGCGCCTTAGTCCTCAAGGTGACAAATTTGCTTTTTAACACTTTAAAGAGGTCTTTTGCAGAAGATTTGCCCAATGCAATGCATTGTTTGATTTCTCGACTGCTGCTTCCATGAGTGTTGATTGTGGATCCAAGTAAAATGAAATAATGTTATAAAATAATCAAATATATTGTTGTGTTGTATTGCATTATATTATACTATACTATGTTATATCATATTTTATATTATGTTATATTATAAGTTAGCAAGTGTTAGAAAAAAATAAAATGCTAAAATGTTGTGAAGTGACCCAAGCTGGAGAAGGCAAGGTTAAGAAGAGCCTTTATCACCGTCTTTGGGTGACAGTGGGAATCCTGTAGCAATGCTTTCAGTACCTGCTCATCTAAGCACTCTGTGATAACCTCTTCCTCCCATTTCTCTACAACCCAGTCAAACCCGTAAAAAACACTAGTCTACTCTTTCACTCTATTCTTAAAATCATACCCATAATATAATGATAAAGGAGTTACTCACAGTATTTGCAGTTTACATAATCCAAAAAATGCTTTCCTGGATATGTGTCTGATACAGTTATGCTGGAGAAAGCTGGTAGGAATAAGATTGAAGAGTCGTGTAATGTCGGTTTATGTTCTTTATTAGACTATTTAATGTTTTCTTCACTTTTTTTTTTGAAGGAGGCCTGGTGGTACAACGGTTAAGCCCTCAGCTGCTAACTGAGAGGTTGGCTGTTTGAATGCACACAGCAGCTCCATGGAGAAAGAGCTGGCAATCTGCTCCCATAAAGACCACAGCGTAGAAAACCCCAGCCTGGAAAACCCCATACTCTGTCACATGGGGTCGCTGTGATTCAAAATTGACTCAATGTCACCCAACAACAACAAATATTTTTTCACTTCAAGATAATGTTTGAGAAACCAGCTTATAAAGTGCAAAATTCCCTTCTCATGTTGCAGGGTAGAGGCGGTCCGTGAGAAAACCCCATGGGGCAGTTCTGCTCTGCCCTACCGGGTTGCTGTGAGTCGGAACTGACTCGGTGGCAGTGGGTAGAGCTTCCCAGTTACAGGTGTGCCAGAATACGGACACCCCCAGCCCTCGAGGGAGCCAGGCTAAGCCTAGATCAGCTTCCAGTTCTCAACAAACCCATTCCTTGACCCCAGGTGCTGTACAAAGATTTCTATGTGTAGCACCATATGGAAGAGGTTGGCACTACAATGGTTAAGCACACGGCTGCTAAAAGAAAGATTGACGGTTCGAACCCACCCAGCAGCTCCTCAGAAGAAAGACCTGGCGACCTGCTCCATAAAGATTACGGCCTAGAAAGCCCTGTGGGGCAGTTCTACCGTCTCATGTGTTGTTGCTATGAGTTGAAATTGACTTGGTGGCACCCAACAACAACACACAGCACACGCACTATACCCCACAGCGATACACAAAGCATTAATTTCGATCCTATAAAATAAGCTTGAAATACAAAGTGACCGTTTGCCATCCCAGCGCCATCTTTCTGCAGCACGACTTTGGGGAGGTGCTTCCCACTGCAGTGTAAATTCTGCTTTTGGTGAAAACTGTGCTACAAATCAGTGCACCCACACAGAGCGGTATCTGCCTTAGCATATTCAGAGCCTTAGCAGTGATATAATGAAAGTTAGCATGCTAAATTATGTCACAATAACCAATGAAAATAGGAAAAAGTATTTAATACTGTGATATAGGCATAGAGCTCCATTGCCGCGGAGACAGTTCTGACTCATAGCGACCCTATAGGACAGAGTAGAACTGCCCCATAGGGTTTCCAAAGCTGTAATCTTTACGGAAGTAGACTGCCACATCTTTCTCCCGCAGAGTGGCTGGTGGGTTCGAACTGCCAATCTTTCGCTTAGCAGCCGAGCACTTTAACCACTGCGCCACCAGGGCTCCTAGGATAGTGAAGTGTCTCTTTAATATAAAATTCACTACTAACTAACTAGTGGTGTTTGCATTTCATTCCCAGTAATGAATTCAATAGTGCAGTGAACATTCTACACACGTCATCACGTCTTGCAGAGATGCGTGCAGTCATGGGTTGTGAATCTGACCTCGTGCTTTTGTTTTATTTCAAATGGGAGACTACAGTCAATAAGCTGTCCCGGTCACCTGAGGGCCTGAGGGCGTACAGCTAATCTGCCTTCACTGACAGGAACTAAGACTCACACTCCTTAAATAATAAAGAGCATCTAGCCTTCTATCTAAGGAGCCCTGGTGGCGCAATGGTTAAGCGCTCAGCTGCTAACTGAGAGGTTGATGGCTTGAACTCACCCAGCAGCTCTACAGGAGAAAGACCTGGCGATCTGCTCCTGTAAAGATCACAGCCTAGAAAACCCTATGAGGCAGTTCTGCTCTGTCACATGGGGTTGCCACAAGTTGGAATCGACTCAAGTTCTGTTTAGCGGGCTTGCTGCCACCCTAAAGAGAGCGTCAGAGCTCCTAGTCTCGTGTCTCAGATTTAGGTTGCTCAGTTTTAGCTTGGTCCCCAGGATCTCCTTTCTGCTTTCAGAATAGCAGCCTGATGTATGTGAGGGAAGATTTGGAAACACGACAGTTTGGCAAGTGTCCTCTTTTTATTCAGAGCTGAGACCTGAGCCCACTGAATATACCTTACATGGAATGACTTTTCTAAGAATAACTTACTGGTTCATGAATTCCTGCTGTTTCAGCTGTTAAGGACCTTTCGAGCAGAAACACCAGGAATTTACGTACCTGAAACTAAAGCAAATAAATGCTTTAATGACACACACGTTTACAGGCTATTGTTTAATGCAACATTTTATACTCAAGAGCCACGCCGACTGCTTGAATTACATTTTGTTGCCAAGAGTCGCATTTAACAAGAATTCGGTCTAAGAAGGAGTTCCTAATTTATATAAGGCCTGTGTTACCACGAGAAGAACTGCTCTCGGTTTCCATGGTAGCAGTAATAAAGTATTATAATAGTCGATCCCATAAATTGTGGTTTATTTCTCTGAAAGGTCATATGAAAGTGCTTCCCCCCACAACTTCAGATAGACCTGACATTTTCCAAGATGATTAAAATGAATAAACGGATCAATAGTAAAAACATTTAGATCCTTTGAGCAACATTTAATTCATTTGGCAATTGAAATTTCATTTTGACTTAAGAATTTACCAAATACCTAAATGGCCTCAGAAGGAGCCCTGGTGGTGCAAGGGTTAAGCGCTCCACTGCTAACTGAAAGGTTGGCAGTTCCAACCCACCCAGCAACTCCTCAGGAGAAAGACCTGGCCATCTGCTCCCGTAAAGATTACAGCCTGGAAAACCCTATGGGGCAGTTCTGCTGTCACATGGGGTCGCCATGAGTCAGCAACAACTCAACAGCACCCAGCAACAACAACAAATGGCCTAATCTCCACAGTGACTATTTAGAACATTCCAGACCAGAAACTCACTTGAGGTCAGATCTGGGCTCTTTTGAGAGATATCCCAATGTAACTTAAAAATGCAGATTAACTTTATTAGCCCCAAAGCCTAAAACCCACTGCCATCAAGTCGATTCTGACTCATAGCAGCCCCATAGGGTTTCCAAGGCTGTAAATCTCTACGGAAGTAGACTGCCACCTCTTCCTCCCACTTTATTAGCCCAGTATAGTCTGAAAACACATTTTGGTGCATGTCTTTTTCCTGCTCAAACAGAATTCAGTCCAGATTCCTGGCATTTACTCACTGCCGTTGAGTCAATTCTGACTCATAGTGACCTTACAGGACAGAGCAGAACTGCCCCATAGGGTTTCCAAGGCTGTAATCTTTACGGAGGCTTACTGCCACATCTTTCTCTTGCACAGTGCCTGGTGGGTTTGAATTGGCAAACTTTCAGTTAGCAGCCGAGCTGTTAACCACGGCTCCACCAGGGTTCCAGGATGAAATTTAAGAGGGATAAACTCAAGGACCCACACCTAGCTCTCAAATGTCCAATGCACCAGTACAGGATAGAGAGGACATCACTTAGCCTCACGCTGTTATTGAATTAGCAAAATCACTGGGAGGTAAGAGTGTGAAGTCGCCACCAAGGCAACTCATTGGGTACCATTTCTTATCTGCTAATCATGCCCTTTGAATTATAGTGTTGGAGAAGAGTATTGAATATACCATGGACTGCCAGAAGAATGAACAAATCTGTCCTGGAAGAAGTGCACCAGAACGCTCATTAGAAGCAAGGATGGCAAGACTTCGTCTCACATACTTTGGACATGTTGTCAGGAGGGAGCTGTCCCTGGAGAAGGACATCATGCTTGGTAAAGTAGAGGGTCAGTGAAAAAGACGAAGACCGTCACTGAGATGGATTGACACAGTGGCTGCAACAATGGGCTGAAGCATAACAAGGATTGTGAGGATGGCGCAGGACCAGACAGTGTTTCATTCTGTCGTACACGGGGTCGCTGTGAGTCAGAACCGACTGGACGGCACCTAACAACAACGACAACCATGCTTTTTTTATTGGCATTTTCTGTTGTCAGATATGTTAATATCACTGATTAAGCTACAATCATGTTTTCTCCTGTTACCCGGGGAGCCGGTCCATGTCCAATCATTACACGTTTTAAATGATTTGATTGCTTCCTGTCTACACTAACGCTCTTCCTCCAAGTTAAAAAGTGAAACTACTGCCTCTGAATCAGCAATGGCGTTTTTTAAATAGCCTCGAGTAAAAGCATGGAACTGTGTATTTTTTTCTTTATTTATTTTGGTGAAAGTCTACACAGCCGGAGACACACCATTTCAGCAATTTCCACATGTCCAATTCAGTGACGTTGGTTACATTCTTCAAGTGGTGCTACCATTCTCGCTGTCCTTTTCCACTTTCTTCCACCACCATTTTCTCAAACTCACTGCCCCCTAAGTGTCCCATCCAACCTTCCGAGTTGCCCTTGTCAATTTGATCTCGCCTACATAATTCTTTAAAAGCGGACAATGCACAAAGCAGATGTACTTTACTAATTAAGATAAGCTATTTTTTGGTTCAAAGAAGTCTTCAGGAGATAATTTTTTTTAAACTGAGATGTTTGATCTCAACTCCAATTTCGCTGTCTAAAAAAAGTTTAAACAAAATCGATTCAGCTGCTTTAAATTAGGAACTGGAAAGATAAGGTACTTTTAAATGATCCATCTTCTAATCTTAATATTCAGTGCATTTAGAAAAATAAATTTAACAATAAAGTTAATCAACTTTGTATTTCAGTTTACTTTTAGATCAAAAACATTTTAAGCAAAACATTACGAGGGTTTTCTCGTAAGTATGCTCTTAATAGCTACTTACATATTTTTAAGCTCTGTATACTTGATGAAAACTTTATCTGGAAGACTGTAGATTTTGTTTTTCTTAAGAGACCTAAATGACATGTAAAGCGGATTTCATTACTCGTTCATAGAAGCTGCATGCTTGAGAAGAAAATATTTGATACCGCTCCACAATACTCAACGATCATTTGAAATCGACAGTAATAACTAAAATTTTTTCCATGGGAAAATAATAAGTTCATAAAGCCAAAATTAAAGATATTTGCAAATGTTTGACAAGTTTAGCCGGACAGTATAATAGACTGGAAGCTCTATGCTGATAATTTAACTTTTTTTCTTTTACTCTCTGAATAATTTAATGAAACACAACAACCGAAAGCCAACGATAATTTTAAAAAGTTGATCATCAGCCTATACATCCCCGTTACGGCATGACTGCCAATTCCCCAAGGCTCTCAAAACAATTAATGAGAGTTTGGAAAACGTGCCCCATCGATCTCTAACACCTTTGAGATCTTGGACAAACTAACCCATTAAAAATAATATACCAGGATGAGTGAGTGATTTTCTTTCTTTTCTCTCTTCCTTTCTTTTTTAATTTCAGTTGGGACATATCAGCAATAATATATAAATCAGAAAGTAATTGAAAATAAAACTCCAGACCACAGAGGTTTGTGAGTTAAATGATAACCTGGCGAATCCAATCTACAGTGTTTAAAACATCTTTCTCCCGAAGAGGTAACATGTATAGTTCTCTGACGGCTGATGGCTTTAAAAGAAGGATCCATCATTTTGCCCCACCACCTGTCTGTCACTTGATCATCCCGCGGTGGTTTGCACGTTGCTAGGATGCTGGAACCTGTACCACTGGTATTTCAAATACCAGCATGGTGAACAGGTTTCAGTGGAACTTCTAGTCTAAGACAGACAGGAATAAAGGCCTGGCTGGCTGCTTCTGAAAATTAGCCAATGGAAACCTTATGGATCACAACAGAACGTTGTCTAACTCATTTGCTTTGGACACACCATTAGGAGGGATCAATGGCTGGAGAAGGGCATCGTGTTTGGTGAAGTAGAGGGCCAATGAGGGCAAGGGAGACCTTCAGTGAGATGGATTGACACAACAGCCACAGCGATGAACTTGAAGACACCAGTGATGGAGAGAACGATGCAGGCAGGACTGGGCAATGTTTTGTTCTGTTGTACATGAGGTTGCCATGAGTTGGAATCAACTCGATGACAGCTATCTATGTATTTATCTATGTATTTATCATCCATCCATCCATTTCTCTATCTATTATTTTGCTAATATGTAAGTAGCATGAAACAGGACAAAGAGAGATTGGAGTTCTCTTGGTTTTCGTGTGACTTTAGGGACAAATATACATAATTGAGTTCTACTCACAGTAACGTCACATTGCTGGCAATCCTTGGCACAGATATGAAGTCAGCATTTATACATTGCAGTTCAGTTTCTTTGCAGTCACAGTGGTGTGGGTATTGGTTTAGAACTAAGGAAGAAAAAAGAAAGATCTCACTAGGGAAAAAAAAATACATTTCTAAGTACAACTTTATTCTAACTGACATTGTTCTTTTATCATTGAATGCGTAAAATTTACATCTGTTTAACGGACTTATTCAGGCTCCTAACAAAAGCAAACAAGGATTCTCTCCTAATTAACTATAGGCTCATGTGGTGTTTATCTCAATTCTGGTTTTCAGTGGGTATCAGACGCATATAAGAGGAGATTCGAAGGAAGCCACAGAAATGTTTAAATATCATAAAAGCATATAATGAAGCAGATAAAGTTCTCCTCATTGGAAAACATGGTATGATTTTGACAATCTTAATGACGATTGACTCAGTTCAATTTAATTTCAATTCGATTGCACAAAAGAGTTATGCAATAAATCCTTGTTGATTAAAATGAAATTCAATTGTTTTCCCCTTTCAAACTTTTCTTAGAGCTGAGAAGGGTTAGACATAGGCTCTGTTGTAGCCATTATTGCAACTTACTGGTTTCAATCAAGTCAGATATCTGGAGAGTGGAGCTGTGTTCCTTTCATTGGGCTATTTGCTTTTCATTACTAGGGAGTTAAAAGTGGAAGGTTAAAGTTGTAGAGAAACTATAAAGCTGAGAAAACCAAAGATACACCTAACTGAAGCATTTGGAAGAAGGAGAAAGGCTTCAGAATTTACTTTGAAGGACCTCATATAATTGACTGTAAAGATAAACCAGTCGCTGTCGAGTTGGCTCCAACTCATGGCGACCTCACGTGTGTCGGAGTAGGACAGGGCCCCATAGGGTTCCCAATGGCTGATTTCTCAGAAATAGATTGCCAGGCCTTTTTTCCAAGGTGCCTCTGGGTGAACTCAAAGTCCAGCCTTTCAGTTAGCAGCTGAGCACGTTAACCCACCCAGGAACTCCTAGTTATTAACATAATGGTGTATAAAGGAGTGAGAAATAATGGAGACTCCAGGCCAGTTTGGTTCTTTGGACAATCAACGTGTGTGTGTGTGCGTGTGTGTGTGTCTGTGTGTTTTGCTTGTGTGTGGTGCACTTAAAAGTGAGAGAGAGAGTGAACAAAAGGGAGGAGAGAAAGAAAGAGTGTGATAGAGCATATGGAGCCTTTGATTTTTGCCTCTTGACCACTGGATATTTGTCTTGAAGCTAACAAGTGAGAGTTATTTTCAAATTTATTGTTGTTATTGTTAAGTACCATCGAGTCCGTTCTGACTCACAGCGTCCCAGGTACAACAGAACTAAACACTGCCCAGTCCTGCGCCATGCTCACAATTGTTGTTATGCTTGAGCCCATCGTTGCAGCCACTGTGTTAATCCATCTCGTTGAGTCTTCCTCTTTTTTGATGACTCTCTACTTTACCAGGCATGATGTCCTTCTCCAGGGACTGGTCCCTCCTGATAACATGTCCAAAGTACACGAGACGAAGTCAAGTCATCCTTGCTTCTAAGGAGCATTCAGGCTGTACTTCTTCCAAGACAGATTTGTTTGTTCTTTTGGCAGTCCATGGTATATTCAGTATTCTTCGCCAACACTATGATTTACGCGTCAATTCTTCTTTGGTCTTCCTTATTCATTGTCTAGCTTTCGCATGCATATAGGCGATTGAAAATGCCAGGCTTAGATCAGGCACACCTTAGTCCTCAGAGTGACACCTCTGCTTTTTAACACTTCAGAGAGGTCTTTTGCAGCAGATTTGCGTGAGTCTTTCGATTTCTTACCTGCAGCTTCTTGGGCGTTGATTGTGGCTCCAAGTAAAATGAAATCCTTGGCAATTTCAGTGTTTTCTCCATTTATCATGATGTTGCTTATTGGTCCACTTGTGAGGATTTTTGTTTTATGTTGAGGTGTGATCCGTACTGAAGGCTGTGGTCTTTGATTTTCATCAGTAAGTGCTTCAAGTCCTCTTTACTTTCAGCAAGCAAGGTAGTTTCATCTGCATATTGCAGGTTATTAATGAGTTGTCCTACATTCCTGATGCCCCGTTCTTCTTCATACAGTCCAGCTTCTCAGATGATTTGCTCAGCATATGTATTGAATAAGTATGGTAGAATGATACAACCCCTACGCACACCTTTCCTGACTTTAAACCATGGAGTATCCCCTTGTTCTGGTCGAATGACTGCCTCTTGGTCTGTGTACAGGTTCCACATGAGCACAATTAAATGTTCTGGTATTCTCATTCTTCACAATGTTATCCATAATTTGTTATGATCCACGCAGTCAAATGCCTTTTCATAGTCAATAAAACACAGATGAACATCTTTCTGGTATTCTCTGCTTTCAGCCAGGATCCATCTGACATCAGCAATGATATCCCTTGTTCCACGTCCTCTTCTGAATCTGGTTTGAATTTCCGGCAGTTCACTGTTGATGTACTGCTGGAACCATTTTTTAATTATCTTCAGTGAAATTTTACTTGTGTGTGATATTAATGATACTGTTCGACAACTTCCACCTTCTGTTGGATCACCTTTCTTTGGAATGGGCACAAATGTGGATTTCTTCTAGTAGGTTAGCCTGGTCTGTCTTGCAAATTTCTTGGGGAATTTCAAGTGTATATTTTATTATTATTTATTTAAATCCGATTACAAGTTCTTTCCAATTGCCCTGTTTCTTTTAGATCATTTTTATCCAGACTTTATTTTTAAAATACATTTCATTGGATTTTAGTAAATTCAACCTGGCATTTATTGAGTACCTACTTAATGCAAAAGATGTTTCTTAGTATATAATGTTTTGGAAAAATATTCTAATAGGCTAATTAGCTCCTCTTGCTAAAGATAACTTCAGTATGTTTACTTCAATGCTTGTGGACATTGAGAAAAGTGGTTACATTATTAGATTGAAAACCATAATTGGAAACAAGTACTGTATTTTTACGAAAATAACCTGTTACACATTTCTTTGCCAACTGAGTCCTCTCCCCATAAGCGTGCTAGGCTAGTTTTTTTTTTTAAAGCAACATGAAAAAGAATTCCATAGAGTGCTTATGAAAATATCTTGGGGATGGTAGGGCACAGTTGGCAAAAAAAAAAAGTATAACACTCGTGTTATCAGTGTAAAAATACAGTGTTTGCCAACAAGAGTGTTCGTATAGCCCAGTCTGGGGCCTGTTGCCTAAACCAGCCATGTAGGCACAACTCTGACCCTTCCCCACCTCCAAGCCAGTCACGCTCCAAGCTCTGTGGGTTCTTCTTCTGCAATATCTCTTCTTCTCTGTACCTCACTCTCCCCATTGTTATTTGCTCGGCTTAGCCCCTTAGTACTTGTCTGGAGCATTGCGATACGCATAATAATCAGTATCTTTTTCACCGTTTTTTTCCTCTAATCCAGGGTTTCTCAGCCTCCAAATGATTGACATTTGGGCTGGATAATTCTTGTTACAAGGAGGTGCCCTGTGCACTGTAGGATGGTTAACAGCATCCCTGGCCTCTACCCTCTAGATGCCAGGAGCAGCCCCCAGTTGTGACAACCAAAAATGTCCCCAGACATTGTCAGATGTCCTCTGGGGACAGTTACCCCGGGTGGAGCCCTGTTGCTCTGATCCATTCTCTGCACTTCTGGTGAAAGAATCTTTCTAAAGTCCATTTCTGATCACGTGCTTCTTTCTTCCTCTTCATTAAAAAACGGAAACAAACAAAAAGGGTTGCCCATGTGTGAGCAGTGATCTTCATAATGGGATGGGTGCAAGACAGCAGGAGGAAAACACTAGAACTTTCAGGAAGTCATTCAGGAAGAAAATATAAGAACTTCCTGTTTGTTTTTAATCATATCCTTTCTAGTATCTAATTTTTATACATAATATGTATAATCAAGCGTATAATATACTGGTAACTGGTATTATAAAGTGTATAGTATACTGTTAGTATAGTATATAATATATATACATTACATAATGCATTAATACACATATATAATGTATATATATTATGTAATGCAAATGTATATGCAATTACACACATACCTTAATATATGTGCATATATCGTATATTAACAATATATATAAAAATCAGTTGCTGTTGAGTCAATTCTGACTTATAATGATCGTATAGGACAGAGCAGAACTACCCCACAGGGTTTCCAAGGCTCTAATCTTTTTGGGAGCAGACTACCACATCTTTCTCCCTTAGAGCGGCTGGTGAGTTTGAACCGCCCACCTTTTGGTTAACAGCTGAGTGCTTAACCACTGCGACACCAGGGCTCCTTAATAATATATATATTAAATATATGTTATTGTTGTTGGATGCCATTGAGTTAATTCTGACTCATAGTGACCCCATGTGACAGAGTAGAACTGGCCCCATAGAGTTTCCTGGGCTGTAATCTTGATGGGAGCAGATCGCCAGGTCTTTCTCCTGCAGAGCCGCTGGGTGGGTGCAAACTGCCAACCTTTCGGTTAGCAGCCTAATGCTTAGTGGTTGTGCCACCAGGGCGCCTTCATTTATAATATAGATAAATACTGGTGTATGTATGTAATTGCATACACATATACATAACTCTATGTACATAGGGTTTCCAGTGAGCACCTGGTGGATTCAGACTACTGACCTTTTGGTTAGCAGCCATAGCTCATAATCACTACGTCACCAAAGTTTCCATGTATTAATACATTATGTATATAATGTATCCCGTAACCCGTTGCCGTCGAGTTGATTCCAACTCATAGCGACCCTAGAGGACAGGGTAGAGCTGCCCCATAGGGTTTCCAAGGAGCAGCTGTTGGATTCGAACTGCCGATCTTTTGGTTAGCAGCTGAGCTCTTAACGACTGCGCCACCAGGGGCCTGTGTACGTATGTACATATACATCATTCTATCTACAGGATAGAGTCCAAACTTCGAAGTGTGCGCCCAGGACTCTAGGTTCAGCTCCCATTCTTCACCTCCAGCACTCAGACCCGTTGGGAGAAGGCACTTTGGAGCTTGCACTGCGCTTCCCCGCTTCAGGGCTTGGCTAATCTCACGGCCTCTCGCCCTCCCCTCCAGGCCGGGACTTTGAAACCCACTGCTGTCCAGTGGATTCCGAGTCATGGCAACCCTATAGGGCAGAACTGAACTGCCCTCATAGGGTGTCCGAGGAACAGCTGATGGACTCGAACTGCCGACCTTTGGGTTAGCAGTTGAGTTCTTGACCAGCAGGGCTCTGGGACATCCAAGTCCATCTCGAATGCCCTCTTCCCTTTGAATCATTTCCACCCCTGGCGCAGCCATCATTTCTTCCCAGAGGCTCCTGTGGCCCTTCGCGCACACACCGCCCCTCCACTGGGGAACTCAGACTGCGTCGTCACTGTTGTTTACAGATGCGCGTTTCTGGCTACAGTGAGAGGTGCTGTGGGCTGGGGTCACCTCGCAGTCTGCAGTGTGTTCGCAGTGTGGAAGCTGGGGCTGGCACAGAGTCACCCCTCGATGTCGTTGCTGAAGAAAGCAATTCAGAGGAAGCAAAGCTTGACGGTTTCTCATAGCTATTCAATGGCTGTATAGTCTTTTTTTTTTTTAAATAATATTTTACTGTGTTTTCGGTGAAAGTTTACACAGCACATTATGTTCCCGTTTAACAATGACTACACCGATTGTTCAGAGACATTGGTTGCATTTTTCACCACGTGTTAACATTGTCCTCAGTCCCTTCGGGGTATTTCTCTTCCAGTATTCTGGTTTCCCGGGCCCCGTATCTTTCCATCTTTGCTGTAGAGTAACAGTGGAGCATTTGGATAATGCCTATGTATTCTTGCAATCACAGACCCATCCATAAACTCAGTATGAATGGAGACAGTCGTTTTCTACTTCAGACCTTTTGTCTCACAGGCAGATGGTAGACCAGTTGGCCTCTAAAATACATTGACCTAAAATTGACATTCTAAAGGGAGTTTATCACATTAGCCATGTAAATCCATGAGCCACAAATCATGCTGTTTGCAAAGCTGACGCCAAGTGTTTGACCCAATGCCCTTACAGCACTGCTGTGTGAATGACCCATGATCAGCGTGTCCACGGCCTGTGCCAAATATAGTCGCCCATCCACTCGTGTCTCCTATGAAACAGTGAGGAATATGTCAGTCATTCTATAAACCAAATATCACACTACATAACAGAAGTATAAACAGTATAATAATCAAATAAATTTTAAAATTTGTTTAAGAAATAGAATGATTTGATAGTTCAAATCTACCAGCCACTCCTTGGAAGCCCTGTGGGGCAGTTCTGCTTTGTCCTATAGGGTCACTACCAGTCGGAATCGACTCGACGGCAACAAGTAAGCTTAAATATATCAGCTAGGCACGTTCTGGAAGTTTACCCTTTTTCACAATTGCAAATATTTCGAAGGTACCAATACCGCTTGCCCTAGAGTCAATTCCAACCTCGTGTCAGAGGAGAATTGTGCTCCACAGGGTTATCAGTGACTGATTTTTCAGAAGTAGATTGCCAGGACTTTCTTCCAAGGCATCTCTAGATGGACTCAAATCTTTATCCTTTTAGTTGGCAGCTGAGTGCATTAACTGTTTGTACCACCCAGGGACTCCTATTCCAAATGTATCATAAAATATACAATGCAAAGATATCATTATTATACACGAATAGATTTGTCTTGACAAACGTCACCTATGTCTAATACTGACCTTTTTAGGATTTGATCTTACTTTTGAGAACCTCAGAAGAAAATCTAATCTGAATTTTATTTTTGTCATACACATACACTGCCATGCCATTGATAGATGTAATGAGTTCTGTTAAAATTTGTCACCTGACCTTTTTAATAAAGCAAAAAACCAAGTTCTTTTAATAAAGGCTGTCTTGTCCTGTTCAGAGAAATACGCCTGCCTCAGTTTGTCAGAGAATATAATCTGCTTATTTCCCCAGTTTCCCTGTCTTCTTGGTGATAAATCGTATTTTTTAAAAAAGGCTCGATTTTGAAGTAATGTTACCTTAGCATGTGATATTAAAATTATAAGTTACCAATTATGATGTGTGATATTGAAGCCCATACAAATAAAAAAGTAAGTTAAAAAATTACCAACAGGCCCTTTTGGTCCTTGCAGTCTTTAACCTGTTTTTATTTCTTATTAATATACTCAATAGTTTCTTCCATGGTTTTACAACGAGGCTTTTAATTGTGTTACAAGTAGTCCCTGACTTATGATCTATTTGAATTACTTCAAACCACACTTACAACCAGTGTTTTTTTTTTTTTTTGTACATCTTATTGTTAGTAATACCACATACAATGTTGCAGCACATAATTTGCGGATGTTATCATTCTCAGATGTTCACTCACAGATGTTCGAAGATCAGATTTATAAAGATACTGATAATAAAAGGCAATAATAATGAAAACTAAAAAGCAAAACATAAGTATTCGACTTAACATCAGAACTGACTTAACAACGGAGTTGTGGGACGGAACCCCATCATAAGTCGGGGACTACCTGTATAAACTCCCTTATGTGCATTATGTAATTAGGGCTGAGAACACCCTTGTGAGGTAGATGGACACCCATGGTCTCTAATTCCTTTACAAAGAAGAGGAAAGGCCAAGAATTTGAGAGACTTGCCCATTGGAATCCAGAGGACTGCCCTATCACTGAGCATAGATTGAGCGCCTGCTGAATACTCTGATGTTCTAGGCCCTGGTGACCCCCAAACAAATGAGAGCCAAGGCCTCTTCTCAAGGAGCTCACGTCTAGTGAGAGAAATACAGCGAGAAGACAACAGCCAGGCGTATAGTCAGGGCGGTCATCCAGATGCGCCCAGGGAGCTAGGGCGACAGAGAGGAGGGGCTGGTCCTAGCCTGCATGGGGAAGGGTGTCTCAGGGAGCCCTCTGGAGGAAGTGACACCTAAACTGCATCCCAAGGACCAGCCGGAGTGACCCACAGGAAGTGAGGGCAGAAGTCTCTGTGAGCCCCCTAGAGCAGGACAGCTGATGCCGGTGACAGATGCCAGCTTTCCTGGGTTCGTTGCTGCATCTTGATTGAGAACTGGGCAGTGCTGAAGAAGGGGCAGCTCTGTATGGCTGAAAACGTGAGATTCTTTCAGATTAAGAAGACCTGGCATCTAGTGGCTATTCTGTGACTAACTGGTCCCAGGACACGCCAACTTCTCTTGGAATCCGTTTCCTCCAGAGAAAAACAGCCAGGTCAGATTAGACTGTATATAACTTAACCTAAGCAGTTGCTATCTAGTCAACTGACTCATAGCGAGTCCATGTGTGTAGAACTGTGCTCCATAGGGTTTTCAATGGCTGATTTTTTTCAGAAGGAGATCACCAGGCCTTTCTTCCAAGTCACACCTGGGTGGACTTGAACCTCCAACCTTTCAGTTAGCAGGCAAGGGTATTAACTGTTTGCACCACCCAAGGGCTCCCATACCATATATGCAGCCCCAGTGTTCAGACTAAAATGGTCTGTGAGAGCCTACGTGATCGGGCCTCTGCTTACCCCTTCACCTTCTGTTTATCTCCTTGTCCACTCTGCTCAAGCCTCTCCGGCCGTTCTGTCTCTCAGAGACACCGTCTTGTTCCCTGCGGCCTCAGCGCCTCTGCACTTGCTGTTTCCTTTGCTTGGAACATGGTTCCTCCCAATATTTCATGGCTGTTTAATTTTTTTCATTTAGTTCTTGATTCAAATGTTATCATCTTGTGGGGGGCTTTTTCTGGTTGTATCTTTAAAGTAACCCCTCGCCACAAGTCACTTTCTATTCCATTATCTTGTTTTTGTTTGCTTTTTGCTTCACAGCACTTACCTTGTCTGAAATTACTTGTTTGTCTACAAGTTTACTGTCCCTCCTGCTCGCATTGTCCACGTGAACCCCACGACGGAAACGGCCTCGTCTCCCTGGAACCCGCCTTGTTCCAGTGAACTAGAGAGCACCCAGCACAGAGCGGGCACTCAATGTTTGTCTCTTAAATGAATTAATGTGCCCATCTGCACATGATCGATTTTCTTGCAGTTGAGTCAAATTACCAGCCATTAGAGATAGGTAAGGAGCCCTCGTGGCTCAATGTTAAGCTCTCAGCTGCTAACCGAAAGGTCAGCAGTTCAAACCTACCCAGCAGCTCTGAAGAAGAAAGACCTGTCCATCTGCTTCCATGAAGATTACAGTCAACAAAATTCTATGGGATAGTTCTACTCTGTCACATGGGGTTACTATGAGTCAGAGTCCACTCAACAGCACCCAGCAAAAACAGGAGTATATAGAAAGCCATTTAAAATTAAAATATGGGTATCCCCATAATTTTAAAATATAATTTCTAAAATACAGCACTTTACAAAAACCAAACCCATTGCCGTTGAGTTGATTCCCACTCATAGTGAGCCTATAGGACAGAGCAGAACTGCCGGATAGGGTTTCCAGGGCAGCTGGTGGATTCGAACTGCCAGCCTTTTGGTAAGCAGCCAAGATCTTAACCACTGCTCCACCAGGGCTCATTTTTCAGTAACATATTTCTGCTTTAAACAACTTTTATACATGAAACTCAGGGGACCTGGGGGCACAATGACTAAGCACTTGGCTGCTAACTGAGAGGTCGGCAGTGCAAACCCACCCAGCAGCTCTGAGGAAGAAAGACCTGACCATCTGCTTCCATAAAGATTACAGCCAACAAAATTCTATAGGATAGTTCTGCTCTGTCACATGGGGTCGCTATCAGTTGGAATCTACTGGACAGCAGCCAATAACAACAGGAGGTAGGTATAACAACAAAAAACAAATACAGAAAAAACCAAAAGCTATTGCTGTGAAGTTGATTCCAGCTCACAGCGACCCTACAGGACAGAGTAGAACTGCCCCATAGAGTTTCCAAGGAGCGGCTGGTGGATTTGAACTGTTGACTTTTTGTTTAGCAGCCAAGCTCTTAACCACTGCACCAACAGGGCTCTGGAGGTAGGTATAGGAAGGCATTTAAAATTAAAATATGGATATCCAAATAATTATTAAAATATAGTATTAAAGCTTCTAAAATATAATATTTTACAATAATATATTTCTGCTTTAAACAACCTCTATACATGAAACTCAGGAGTCCTGGTGGTGCAGGGGCGAAGTGCTCGGCTACTAACCAAAAGGTCGGTGGTTCAAACCCACCCAGCGGCTCCCCGGGAGAAAGACCTGGCGATCTGCTCCCTTAAATGTTACAACCTAGGGAACTCTATGGGGCAGTTCTGCTGTATCACAGGGGGTTGCCATGAGCTGAAATTGACTTGAAGACACCCAGCAACAACATGTATGAAATCGCAGATAATTGTCACAAGTACATTGCAGAACAGTTGTTTGTGTTACAGAAGAATTCCCTGTAGAATAATGAATCACGTCTTCTAGTTCATTACAATTATTATTTGATTCACCCACGGTTTTAGGGCGTTCGTAGGTGAGGTACGTATATGGAGCTGAACGGGGAGACTCACCACAGTTCTCCTCGTCAGCGCTGTTTCCACAGTCGTTTACGCCATCGCAGTGAAAAGCAGAGGGCAAGCACTTGGTCAGATTCCCACAGGGAAAATAGCCTTTTTGGCACGAAGGAGCGCCTGTACTGCCTTCAGTCAGCGTGAACTCTGTACAACAGAGCGGAAAAAATCGTATGTAATGGAAGTCAGCTCTTCTTATATTATGCTGTTTAATTTCCACAAGAACTTTATGAATTGAGTTAGTCTTTGTTTGTTTTTCTTACAGCATTAAAAAATATGTAACGTAGCATCTGCCAGTTGGACAGTCTTTCATGTGTACAGTTCAGTGACGCTGATCCCGCTTAGCAGACTGTGCAACCATCACCACTCTCCCTTTGCCAATATTCCACCACCGTTACAGAAACTCAGTGCGGTGCTAGTCTTAATGCACATTTTCTTTGAATAATTTTCTTAATTATAACATTTTAAACAATCATGCAAAAGGTTAAGCGCTCAACTATTAGCCAAAAGTTTGGTGTTTTGAACCCACCCAGAGGCACCTCGGAAGACAGGCCTGGCGAACCACTCCGGAAAGGTCACCAGCCTTGAAAACTCTATGGAGCCTTTCCACCCCACACACATGGGGTCACCGTGAATCAAAGTAGACTCGACAACAACTAACAACAACAATAACATCATACTTATTGGTCCTCGGGCGGTGCAAATGGTTTGTTCTTGGCTACTAACCTAAAGGTTGTCAGTTCAAATTACCCAGTGGCTCCAAGGGAAAAAAGACCTGGTGATCTGTTCATGTAAAGATTACAGCCAATACAATTCCATGGGGCAGTTCTACTCTGTCACATGGGGTCGCCATGTGTTGGAATTGGCTTGATGGCAATAGGTTTAGGTTTTGTTTTTTTTCTTAAAATCATACCTGAATGACCTATACCAAGAATGGAATGAAGGCACTTTTGAACTCACTTCAGGAAGGTAATAGTATACAAAACCAAGGGTATTACCCTACTCTGGAAATCAAGAGGTAGAACCAAGAGCTAACAGGATCAAATAGACGAATTTATTTACTTACTTATTATTGATGAGAAGGATTTGAGGTGACTTACAGTAAAACACATATGCAAAAGGACAGTTTATAACCAAGTCTAGTTAGAGGGCCGTCCAGAATCACATTAGAATGTATCGTTGTTAGATGCTGTCAAGGCAGTTCCAACGCATAACGACCCTGTGTATAACAGAACGAAGCGTCGCTGGGTCCTTCGCCCTCCTCGCAATAGTAGGCATGTTTGAGCCTATTGTTGTAGCCGATAACAATCACAGTCAATCCATAATCCTCAAAAGACTCCATTGCCATTGAGTCGATTCTGGCTCATAGCTACCTAACACTCATTGAACTTACAGGGTGACAGGCACTTCGCACGATGGTTTATCTCAGTTCATTCTTTTTTTTTTTTTGAAGACTGCATTAGGGAACTTTATTTGCGATATATAATAAAAGGTTAATGGATTTAAAAGATAAGATCTTAACTGTGGGGATATATGCCATTTAAACATGGCTGCACTATTGACAACTGCAGCCCCCACAGGCCTCTATGCTGCACAGCATGTTGAGACTTGTCTCCAACATGTCGAGACTTGTCCGGATGTGTTTTCCCAAACCTATTGTCCCTTTACTGATTGACTTGTTTACCTGAATTCCTTCTCCCTTGCCCGCACCCAAAGCCCATTGTTTTGTTAATTGCCTTATTGATTGCTGTATTGACTATAAAATAAACTCCTGGGACTGAAGTGGGGGTCGACTCCTCAGAGTGACCCTCCTGGCCCCACTTCTCTGTAAGAGTTGTGCAGTTGGTTACTGTCTTCACTGTCCCGATTACCGTCGCCGCTGCGACACTTAACAATAAAAATATGAGCACTTTAGTAGAAGAAGTGAAGGGCGTGAACAAAGTGTCCATAAAAAATAATTCTCCATTAAACTTATGACAAGAAGTTCATTGTTACTTCTTTAACAAACCTTTGGCACAAGTGATATTATCCTTCACGTTTCAGGCTTGTTGTTGTTAGTAACAGAGGTCTGGTGGTGCGGTGATTAAAGCTCTGGGCTGTTAACCGAAAGGTCGGTGGTTCAAATCCACCAGCCCCTCCAAGAGAGAAAGATGTGACAGTCTGCGTCAGTAAAGGTTACAGCCTTGGAAACCTATGGGGCAGTTCTACTGTGTCCTATTGGGTCACTATGAGTCGGAATCGATTCGACGGCAGTGGGTTTAGTTTGGGTTTGGGTTTGTTAGTTGCTGTCGAGTCATTTCCAACTCACGGTGATCTTAGGTACAACAGAACAAAACATTGCCCAGCCCTGCGCCATCGTCATGATTGTTGGTATGCTCCAGTCCATCGCTGCGGCTATTACGTAGTGCCTTCCAACCGAGGAGGCGCATCTTCCAGCACTGTATCAGACAATATTCCGTTGTGATCCATAGGGTTTTCTTTGGCTAATTTTTGGAAGTAGATTGTCAAGCCCTTCTTCCTAGTCTTAGTCTGGAAGCTCCACTGAAACCTGTCCACCATGGATGACTCTGCTGGTATTTGAAATACTGGTGGCATAGCTTCCAGCATCACAGCAATACACGAGCCACCACAGTAGGACAGACTGACAGATGGGTGGGGGGTTTCAGGGTTGTCATTGCTAGTTGCCCTCAAGTTGATTGAGACTCATGGTGACTCATGTGTGCAGAGTAGAACTGCTCCATGGTGTTTTCAAGGCTGTCAACTTTCAGAACCAAATCGCCAGGCCTGTCTTCCCAGGCGCCTCTGGGTGGGTTCAAACCGCAAACCTTCTGGTTAAGAGGTTGAGCGATTAACTGTTTGCAGCACCCAGGGTAGCTTTCAGTCATTCATCTGGAAAGCCACACAGGGCAGATTTGAATGGTCTCTTTGACCCTAGAGCCCCACTCTTAGTCATTATGCTGTGAGGGTATCAATTGAATCTTCATCTCAAGGAACATGTTATTGTTGTTGGTAGATGCCACTGAGTTGATTCCGACACATAGCAACCCTACAGGACAGAGTAGAGCTGCCCCATACGGTTTCCTAGGCTGTAATCTTTACGGAAGCGGATCACCAGGTCTTTCTTCTGTGGAGTGGCTGGTAGGTTCAAACCACTGACCTTTGGGTTAGCAGCTGAGAGCTCAACAACTGTGCTACCAGAGCTCCTTTTAAGAAATACAAGGATTTATAAGGTTTCTGTATGAGGACTAATTAAAAAGAGTCCTCTTGTGCAGGAGATATTATAGGAGACCAGTGAGAGTTGAACAGTTGAATGTTGATTGAATGACTGCTCAAAGGAAATAAAATGAACATTTACAAAATTTTTATATCTGTGGAAAGAATGGCCACATTCTTGTTGTTGTGTGCCATCAAGTCAATTCCGGCTCATAACAACCTTATGTGACAGAGCAGAACTGCCCCATTGGGTTCCCCAGGCTGTGATCTTTACGGAAGAATGACCACACATTGGTTCAAAAATCTCAGAAATTTAGATGTAAGAGAAGTTGTTTCCATTTTGAGAGAGTACTTTTTAGAAAACAAAGACGTGTTCTTCGTAAACTTTCTAGTGAAATTGTGGAGGTCATGTATTTTTTAAAAGGCAGTTCAAGTGGAAACTTCACATAAAACGATTTAAGCAGCGTGTAGACATGACATCATGACTCATTGAAGGGAGTAACGGAAGCTGGCAAGGTGTTCCCAGCCAGGCCCTGGGAAGTCGGCATCATGGGCGGGAATGTCTTGGATTGGCGGGATGGATGATGCTTTTGAAAGCAGCCAAAGGATAGGGACCACACTTCTGTGGAGCATCTACTTTGTACTTGGAGTCTCTTTTTTATCTCATTTCATCTTCATAGCAGCTCTGCACGACTGATATTTCCTCATCTTCAGCTAAAGATGAGAAAATGAAAATGGAGAATATTAGGGCACTTCCATAGGGTCACTATGAGTCCAAATCGACTCGATGGCAAGGGGGTTTTGGGTTTGGGCTACTCTGGTCTTAGGAGCCCCTGGGTGGAGCTAACAGTTAAGCAGTTGGCTACTAACGAAACGGTTGGAAGTTGGAATCCACCCAGAGGCACCTCAGAAGAAAGTCCTGGTGATCTACTGCCAAAAGGTCACAACCATCGAAAACCCTGTGAAGCACAGTTCTGCTCTGAAGCATGCAGGATTGCCATGAGTCAGGGTCAACTAGATGGCAGTTGGTTTGGTTTTTGGTGTTACTCTGGTTCTTGGGAAAATGTCCTTGCGAGGTCTGAGTCCTCCTAGCAAACACCACCTTATACTGAGGTGTCCTCCACCAGAGCGGTCACCAGACTGTTTTCCCGAAGTAGGTGAAGCCTATTGGCTCTCAGTTACGATGCCATTTGTCCAAGGGCAGGGGTTTGAGTTCAGGCACTGGTGTTATGTCTGAATACAAGGGCATGCCAAGCTTTAGTGATCACATTAAGGAGGATGAGTGGATTATTTGTGCTTTTGTGTCTAGTTGTTAACCCTGGACACCCAGCAAGCCCGTAAAAGCAGAGCGTCCGGCCCTCTCTTGGGGGCAGACAGATACAACAGTGCATACCCTCCCCTGAGGTGTCTGCTGTGTCTGCTGGGCCTTCCCTGACCTAAGGAGGCCGACCCAGAGGGTCACCCTAGGATCCTTTTCTACCCACTGTTTTTGCTATTGGTGGTGGTGTGGTAACTATGTATGTAACAAATCATTTGCCATTTCAACTTTTTTTTACATATACAATTCAGTGACATTCATTACGTTCACCATGTTGTTCAACCATCACCACTGTCCATTTCTAAACTTTTCCATCACCCATAACCAAAGCTCAGTGTCCCCCAAGGAATGAGTCTTCCTCTCCCCCCTCCCACTCATCCCTAGTTATCACTAATACACTTTGATCTCTGCACACTTGCTTATTCCGGATGTTTCCTGTAGGTAAGACTACACCAAGGAGCCCTGGTGGCACAATGGTGAAGTGCTAGACTGCCTGTTCTAACCCACTCAGTGGCTCCACAGTAGAAAGACCTGGTGATCTGCTTCTGTAAAGATTATAGCCCAGGAAATGAAACCCTATGGGGCAGGTCTACTCTGTCTATAGGGTCATTATGGT